TCAGTAAGGTACCAAAATGAGGTGATAATGCTCAACATACCAAAAACAACTTGAAAAAGCTAAAATCTTGCTAAATGCTTCTATGAGGAAAACTGTTGAGCTGCAAATCCCTTCAGAAGAAAAAAATGGTTAGGACTGCCGGTGCACAGACTATCAAAAGATGAAGCTAAGTTAAAGCAACTAAAGAATTTTCAATTGCAAACCAAACAGTGGCTTAAAAATTACAGAATTATTTCAAGTATTTTAGAAGGTAACCTTTGCCAAAAATTCGTCGCTTTCCAATAGCCGTGTGATCCAACCCAGGACGGCAAATCGGTAATGTCGTAATTTCTGGATTGAATATTTAGTTCGGTCAAATATTTTGGACAAAAATTTGTCTTGCTCGATGCTTTTAACTGTTTCATCGTCAACAAAGTCAGTTCCCAGTGCAATGATATGCTCGATTAGAGTCACTGTACAAAGCAACTGCTCTGCAGCACTGAATTCACAGGCCATAATCGTCGACATTTCCTCATAAAGTTCAACCGATGCCCGACCTTAAGTATTTAAGCACACATGAGATTATTTAAGTTGTATTTGGTGGATGCCGCCGAAGACCCGTGAAAAGCAAGTAAGCGAGAGATAGCCATAAGGAGACAGATGCATACTGCCTGTGTGATGCAGGCAAAATAAAAAGGGTTATTTTGCCTTGAAAGACAGGCAAAAAACTGAATTCCGTGAGACAAAACTCAATGGAAGGCGGCTGGTCCTAAAGGCATCTTTTGGATCGGAAATAAGCATAGATCAAAATCTGCGTCAAATCGCCGTTCATATAAATTTGAGAATGTAAAATTATCCACCATGTGCAGAAATCAACGAGGATGCCAAACTTACGAGAATGCCAAAAAATACAGCAATTCAAATGAGAACTCCTGGACCTTCCTTACGTCCCAACTGGCAATCAAACAAGATACGACATGATACATGCTACTTCTCCAGTGCTTACGCCTATCAAAGAAGCGAATGCGAATGAAAAACTAGTTTTTAATTTTTCCATATATCCTCTAACTTTAACAGTATCTCTATAACTACAAAAAAAAAAACATACCTTCCGATTTTTTCGTCCAGTTCAGGCAATAATGCTCGAAAACAATGGCAATCACAGCCCAGACATAACGCGATGTTGTGGAACGTGCAACCGCACGCAAAATGCTTTCACGACGATGTGCCGGTATGTCGGCGATCGATGCAGCAAACAGCCGAGAGGTTGTTATTATTTGATCGTAAAATGATGGATCCTGAAAATGTTACATGAAAAAATACGGACGTTTCAAGGGTAAATTTTTATTGTTCAATCACAAATAAATGAAAGAATTACAGGGCCTTAAAATATGTTATTTTAAAATAGCTATGCTCCTTCATGCCTTTTTCGCCTACTTTCTCACAACAGCGTTAAATGACTTTGCACAAAATAACTTTTATTTTTGCACTTTATTTAAGTCGTCAAAGCATTTCATGTAGTCCAACAGGGGCAACGTTCAAGAAGAAGTGATAGTGGAACAGTCAGTCCTTCTATGATTTTTTTCATACTTTTCAATAATTAATTAATATTATACTATTTTAGGGGACGAAAACCATCAGCAGTCTGCTTTTTTGCAATCTCTGTAAAAGGGGACCATCGGCAGTCCAGTATCTGGGTGACTGCTGTTGGCACTTTTTATCATTTGAGCCACTCCGAATACATTCCCCATCTATAGAGTTATCAAGATAGTTTTACTTTTAATATCAACATAAAAAA